TGAAGACTTAAATGTCTGCTGGAAGAAGAATGGACAGTACAACATGAAGTGCAGATGGAGCGTTGGGTATCCTCAGGCCACTGATATGTTAGATGTCAACCACAGCTTTGTTGATGACTCAATTATAATGGATAATGGCGATGTAAACGGGAGGTTACCTGCTGTGATCAAGTTTGAAATCCAGGTGTGCAATTTCAAATTCTAGCACTGCTGACTTAAAAAGTTTGTTACAGCAATATTTTTTTTTTTCTAGATATTCAACTAAATATTGTTGTCATAGTTAAATCCTTGGATTAAAGATCCCATTGGAATGACAAAAGAATGCCTCACCTTTTAGGTTCAATCATGAGTTGATGCATTGTTGCCAATATGTGTTGTCTGCTCATGCCATTTTGAACCAGCAATTTTTAACTTTAAATACTAAAAAGTACCAGTTAGCCATATATTATACTTTTAGCCTAGTATAGTATCATTCGAATGGTGTAGCTGTTGTATTTGGTATGTATTATATATTTTTTGTATATCTGGCTGTCGAATTACTGATTCCGTTTCTTTTCTTCAGCTTTACAAGAGCAGAGACGAGAAGTATCTGCTGGATATGCAGAGAGTTACGGGGCCTCAGCTCCTTTTCCTGGACTTCTGTGCAGCCTTCCTTACCAAACTGAGGGTTCTATAGTACCCCGTGTTGGCTTCAGTGAATAACCAAACCTAGGGTTTTATCATGTGCGGTTTTTCACTGCAATAATGAATAAAGGACACCATGTAAATAGGCAGCTGTGACTTTCTTCCCGGCCCTTAGATAGAGAAGGTTGTTGTTTGAGTGACTAGTGTTATGTTGAGCACCAAAATGTTGGTTGTTACAGGCTTACATAGTATATAGATCTTGATAAGCTATCTGGGTGGGCGAATGCTTGATATCTAATTTTTTGCAGGCTGCAGCTATACTGCTGGTGATGCTGCAGTACAAGCTTTTCTTTTTGCTCCTGCACACGGTTATTATGCGTGTGCATGGAAATTTTGCTACTGCTAGAAAGAAGCTAGGTAAGAATATCAGCCCCTTGCTGCCGGGTTGTGGTATAAATGTAGATGACAGCAAATTTAGTGAAATATCAACAAATGTAGTCGTATGATCATGCTCATGTCCCCCTATGGAGAATCGAGGTATCCTTTCTCTTGTCTTGTGCATATCATCGCTAGAGAATTCATCATATTGTCTTGTACTATTTCGATGTGCACCATTACTCTATAAGGCCCTTCAAAAAGGTTTTCGTTATAAGAAACTAATTGTCATACTTTTTTGGTGTGTAAATTCAGTTAATCTGGAGGGAGGCTTTATTGTTTGAAGTATAAATTTTCTTGCGAATACTTCAGCAAAGCTAAGTCTAAGTAGCCAACTACGCGCCATTAAGTTGATGAGCATTTTTTTCATAATTTGTGCCCCATGCACATTGTTTGTTTGTAAAATACATGGCTACTCCCTAAACTTATGTAGTGGTGTCATCCGTGAACTTGAAAATTGCACGTTTAGGCCCGTGAACTTGGTTTAATGTAGTACCCGGTCCAAACGTCCTTGGACTGCGTTTGACTGCCAATGTGGCATGCCACGTAGGCAACATTTTTGCTCTTAGCTCATTCCACATCACAACATGACGCATATATCTTCTTGTAGCTATATGGTGACACCAGAATCCCCCAAAAAAAACAATCATCAAATCATTCTTCCCTCTCATTCTTCTCCTTGTATGTATAGAAAACGCGGTCCCGATTAGCAATTGCCTTTGCTCCCTGCTCCAAAATAACCTTATCCTTATGCAACGGGCACTTGATCAACAACATCTTCTTCCGGCGACTTCAAGACGGGGAAGAGCTTGGGGAATCCATGGGGATGCCTGGCGTGCAAGACGCATTGCGCTGCCTCCCGTCGCTAATCCGGCCGCACTGTGCCACCGTTAACCCCGTTGCACTACACTGCCTCCTTCCGCTAATTTCACCGCTGAGGCTGTCACAGCCGCTACCTCTCGGTCTTCTTCCGCTAACCTCACCGTTGAAACCCTTGCCGATTTAGGGATATTTTAGGGGATTTGGGTTGAAATACACTGGTAAGGGCAAGTTATGTGCAAGGTATATGTGGAGGGGTTGAGCACAAAAATGTTGCCTACGTGGCATTGCCATGTTGTAATGCCATGTTGGCGGTCAAACGTGGTTAAAGGAGGATTGGACCGGTGGTGGTATATCAAACCAAGTTCACGGATCTAAACGTGCAATTTTCAAGTTCATGGATCTAAGTGACACCACACCACAAGTTTAAGGACCGGCCATGTATTTCACTCTTTGTTTTACTTTCACTTGTTAGAGCATCTCCAATAGAATGGCCAAATTAGACTCTCCAAATACCCATAGTCACCTCTCCAACTGATTTGGAGAGCCAAACATGTTCCTCGTTCCAACAGTCTCTCCATCTACACACTCTATTTTAAGTATATGCCGTTGGGACCTACATATTAACCTCTACTTCTTCCTCCTCTTTCTCCCGCAACCATCGCCAAGTTGCCCTCTTGGCGACGTCGATGACGGCGACAGAACTGTGTGCACGCGATGTAGCTGCGGTGGCGACGAGAGGTGAGAAGCCGCCGACGGCAAATCCGTGCATGCGCGAGGCGCGCTCGTGCACGAGACGGCAGATCCGTGCGCGCGTGTCGACGGTGACAGCGAGGGACAATGAAGACTACGGCGGCGACGACAGCGGTGGCGAAGAGAGGGGAGAAGCCAGCGACAATGAATCTGTGCGCAAGGAGGGCTCGGTGACGACGGCAAGACGATAGTCGCTAGGATGGACCTGTGTGCAAGGAAGGTGATGACGGCGCTGGGCGAGTTACATTGTCTACCGGTTAAAATGCCACTTTGGAGGGTTTTCGGGCCAAAAAAACCCTAGGTTGGCATGCGAGGAGAGGGAGAGGGAGGCAGTAGGCGCATGTCGCTGGACGGTTGGCCATCGGTGATAATGGGATGATGGGGTGGAGGAAGGAGGACAAGGCGAATTACGGGATGGTGGGGACGTGGACCGCCCTCTTTGGCTCCTCAAAGGAGCGGCGAGGGCACAGTCTCCAGCGTTGCCCGTCCCGCACGCTTGTCGCACACAGCTCGCACGCTCATTGCACATCGCCTCTAGTGCCCCCCACGTTGGAGGGCGAGGGCTAGAGGCGGTGGTGGAAGGAGGAACGATAGGGTGGAGGGAATATGAGGATGCGACAACATGCGCTCTTGGGATAGGGAGGACTACACTCTTTGACTTCTTGGAGGAGCGGCGAGGGCACGGCCTCTAGCGCCGCCTACCCATGTGTTGCTTGCCACCACCCGCCCACACGTTGTTCGTTGCCGCTCGCTCTCGCACCCACCGCTCTCTGTCCCCCCCCCCCCCCGTCTCTCTCACTCTGCATGTTAGTCAGGGATTTTTGTATGAAAACCCACTAAAATAATATTTTTAACATGTAGATAATATAAAGGAGTAATATTCTATGTTGTGCAATTTATTGAGTAGCTTTTCATTTTTCATTGAAATGGAAGGAGAAAATTGACATTTTGCCATTGTCAAAATGAGGTTTCACGGAATGTCACTCCCGAAAGTGTTTTCGTTAAAATGCCACCCTCAAACAGGGGCAACATGTTGCAATGCCATTAGATCCATTTCTTCTCAGTTTAATAATTTTTGTAATGTTTTTTCTTGTTGAGATGACCAAAATACCCTTGGATCCTATTCATCTCTCCCTCTATCTCTTCCTCCTCTCCATTGCAGATGGTGGGTGGCGCCGGCGCGGCCCGACTCGACGGCACGACTGGGGATGGGGACGGGGACGGGGACGGCGTTGGCGTGGGTGAGGAAGGCTGCTCGGCTTGGCGGCGTGGCTAGGCAGAGGCGGAGCTAGAGCGAAATGGAGGGTGGTGTCATTTGCTTAATTTACTCTACTTTAGATCGAGTTTAAACTAATGTGGGTGCCTAAGTTTGTATTGAGGGGGTGCTTACATGGTGAATACATATGAGGTATAGCTAAAAAATTTTCTTGACCATGTTTCTGGGCACCCCCTAATATACACTAGCTCCGCCCCTATGGCTAGGGGCGGCGGTGCCATCTGCGTCGACGTAGGAGAACTTCCCCACCTTATCGGCGACCTCATCTCGCTCACCACCATTGACTTGTCCAACAACTCGTCTCCAGCCACAACACCATCTTCACACTGCCCCGAGCTCGCCCCAGTTCCTGGCTGAGATGAGGCATGAGGGGGCTCACCGCCAAGTTCGTCACAACAGCAGCGCCAGGGCGACCACGCCCACCTACCCCAACCGTGTCGGCGCCGCCGCCGTCCCCAGCCACGCCAGCGCCACCCACCATCTACAACAAAGAAGAGGAAGAAATAGAGGGAGAGATGAGATAGGATCCAAGGGTATTTTGGTCATCTCAGCAAGAAAAAAACATTAAAAAAATCATTAAACTGAGAAGAAATGGATGAAATGGCATTACAACATGTTACCTCACTTCAAGTAAAAAAAAACATGTTGCCTCTATTTGAGGGTGATATTTTAACAAAACCACTTTTGTGAGAGCAGGTACAATAGCAGGCTATAAGCCAGCTGTAAACATATTTTAAGGAGATAAATAAGGAGAGAGAAGAGCAGCGGGCTACAGATTTATAGCCAGCTGTAGCACGGATTCCAAGACGCAGTGTGTGTATGACAGGTGGGACCAGATATTAATAGTGTAGTATATAACTATTGTATAGATGAGCTATTAGATTGTTTATAGATAAATTAGAGCTAGTAGTTGGCTATTCTATTAAACTTGCTCTGAGTGGCATTACAGCCAAACCCCGTTATGTCCGTTTTCTCAAACTCATCATCATCGTGGTGGTGACGTGTGGTTCGGCACTCCGGTTGGCCATCGGCCCATCGTACCAACCTCGCGACTTCGCCCACAGCCAGCCACAGCGTGCCGATCGAAACGCCTTCCCGCGACGCGACTCGCCAAGTCGCGAGCTCTCCTCCCCCCTCGGCCCCTCCCGCCGGCTCACCACGCCCTTACAGGTGGCCCCCTCCCCCCTCCCGGAGCCCGGCTCCACCGGTCATCCACTCCAGCCGCGGACTCCCACGCCCCCTTTGGCGGCGCAAACCCGCAGCGGCGCACGGGACCACGCGGCCGGGCGGAACGGGCGCCGCCGCCTCTCCCATCCACCACGCCCGCCACCACGCGCGCTCTCCTCCACGTGACCCGCGCCACCACCACCACCACCACCGCCACCGCTCAGCCCGCGGCCGATGGCCCAAGTGCCCAACCCCCCCGCACCCAGAAAAACCGAACCGACCGCCCCACCACCACCACCACCACCCATACCCCTCCTCCGCCTCCCCTCACCTTATCCCCCCCACACCCGAATCCGCCTCCACCACCACCGCCGCCGCCGCCGCCTCCTCCCCAAAATTATTGCCCCCCAGATCTAGATCTGAATCGACGCCGCAGCCGTGACTGAGAGGATGGCGCAGGAGGCGGCGTCGGCGGCGGCGGGGGAGGAGGGGGCGCTGCCGCAGCGGAGGAGGAAGAGCGCGCCGGGGCAGCCCTGGGCGCACATGGAGACCATGCACCTCCTCGACGCCTACGAGGAGCGGTGGACGAGGCTGCGCCGGGGGCAGCTCAAGGCGCAGCAGTGGGAGGAGGTGGCCGCCGACGTCGCCGCGCGGTGCGCCGCGTCGGGGGCCGCGCTGCGCAAGACCGGGACGCAGTGCCGCCACAAGCTGGAGAAGCTCCGCAAGCGCTACCGCATCGAGGGCGCCCGCCCCGTCACCTCGCTCTGGCCATACTTCCGCCGCATGGAGCGCCTCGAGCGCGGCCCGCTCCCTGTCTCCTCCGCCTTCCCCCCGCCGCCGCCCGCCGCCTCCCCACCCGCCGCCGCCTCTGACGACGACGACGACGACGAGGAGGATGACGAAGAAGAAGAGGAAGTGGAAGAGCCCATCCCCCGGAACAACACCAGGAGCATCAACGGCATCCTCCGGGACAGCGGCGGCGGCGGCGGCGGGTTCAGCGGCTTCGCCCCTCGCCCACCGCCGCAGCAGCCGCCGCCATCCTTCGCGATGCTCTCCACCGCGCCTCCCCGGAAGAGGGTCCCCTACGAGGCATTTCAAGCCAAGGTCGCCATGGCAGACAAGGTGAAGGAAGAGGAGCCACCTCCGGTAGCAACCCGCCCCGGGGGGGGTACCAACGAGCAGCTCTCCGCTGTGCTAAGGGATTTCGGCCAGGGGATCATGCGGCTCGAGAGGCGGCGCATGGAGATGCAGTGGGAGATCGATCGTGGGTGGAAGGAAACCGAGGCCCGCCACAACAGGATGCTTCTTGATGCTCAGCGCCACCTCCACGAGGCTCTCGCCGCCACGCCGCCGCCCCTCAAGAAGGCCAGGAGGGAGCACGGCGGAGACGGCTCGTAACAAACCAGCAGCTGATTGTTGCAGCTGATTGTTGCGGACTTGCAGCTGCTTAGCTTAATTTGGTGGTGTGATGGTGAGTGAGGGGGTGTCTCCTAGTATGTTCAGGATGCATTCAGTAGCAGGATGTATTTATCAGGCTGTACTTATCGTTAGTATATGTGCTAATTTGCCTTAGCAAAGTTGACAAAAAAAATATCTGTGATGCCTATGCACTCTGTCCAGGTGATGTGTTTGCATGGTGAGGAGTACTGATTTAGTTTGCTAATTTGGTTACATCTCACTTGTGCTTGTGTTTCACAGTTTTCTCCATGTTTTTGCTTCTAGTGTACAAATGTTTTGCTTTTACTAGTACTATTATATATAGCACTGTGATGAGAACTGGTGACAGGTGAGAGTTGAGAAGGGAGTTACTACATGTTTGGCATGAGTATTGCAGGGGGTAAGTGATAGTGACTTGGTTGATTAGCAGTGATGTTCTGATAAAGGCTGTGTTTAGTTCCTTCCAGAGTAGGAAGTTTGGTTGAAATTGGTACGATATAACTGAAAAGTTGTGTGTGTATGACATGTTGATGTGATGGAAAAAGTTGGAAGTTTGAATCTAAATACAGCCAAAATTATGGAACTTCCAATAAATGCCATCCTGTTGACTATCAGTTCTATGTTGGATTGCCATGTGAGGTTCTAGTGTGACAACTGACAACTTTGGTCGTCATGTCCAAAATCCAAATGGAAGACTCTCCTTGAGGCGAAATTGTTCATAAATGGAAGACTCCTTGAGGCTAGAAAAAAAATGTCACGTGATCAACATCTTTATAAATGACCTGAAGTCTGACATATTCTTACTAATGATATACTAGCAAACACAAGAGGCCAAGAGTCTGGGTCAAGGAATGTGCTTTGATGATAAGTACTCGAAAGGCCATGGAATCACAAAATAATTTTGGTTATAGATGTGTGGCCGAGATCAAACCACTATCATTTTTAGTCTTTTTCTGGTATTGCATTTATTTACTTCTATTGTATGCTCTCTGTCTTGTATTATGTGATTCCTGTTGTTTTTAACTTCGATTCTGACAGATCTTGTGTCTTTCGGTAGGCGCCTTCTCTAGGTTTTTTGTTGTCTTCAATCCTCAGGAAGGCAGGATCTTCCTGTCTGACAGAGTAAGCATGCTCGACCTCTTTTACTCTGCACATGAAAGTTTCACTTGGACAGTTGCTGGGGTAGAGTAGTATTTGCCAACGTGCTCTATCTGTTTCTGCAAATCCTCCAATAAGTAGTTCACTTCCTTTTGACAACCAGGGTTTGACTTACCGTCGGTAACCGCGCGGTTACCGTGTTTACCGGCCTTACCGCGGGGTACGGTAATAGAAAAACCGCGGTAACCTCCTTAAATTTAAATAAATTTTAAAAATAATTTGAATTTTAGATAAATTTTGTACGGTTTCGTACGGTTTTTCACGGTTACCGCGCTTATCGCGCGGTAACCGTGCTTACCGCCAGGGCGCGGTAACCCCGGCCCCGACGGTTTAGGAAACCCTGTTGACAACCCGTTCTTTTCACATAGGATGTCAGTTTAGATAAGAACTCCCACATGCTTATGAATCCTGAAGTACTACATCGTAGTGTTCATGTCTGTTTTGTAGGGTACAGTACAGTAATTTGTGTAATTAATGTTCCAACTTCCAAGCGCTTGAGAGCAGAAGTTTCGTACATCTTTTTTAAAAAAAAGAAATTCAATTCTCACAAAATTTCTCCATTCCAAAGTGGCCTTGTACCTCAGCTCTGCTACTCTTCTTGAGTGAAAACAGCTCTAGGCCTTGTTTGCAATGGATCAATTTTAGACAAACTTTACAGGAATTAAACTAATCCCTGCGAAAATCTTGCAAAATTCTAACGCTACAAATAGGGATTACAACGGGCACCCAACTGAACTATAAAAAGTGATAGTTTCCGATCCTAAGTCTAACCACATGAAATTTTGATAATTCTAATTTCTTTCAGTGCAGTAATGCAATCTCCACCAAATAGTTAAATTGGAAAGTATAAAAATACCAAACCATCCAAAAATTGTTTCCGTATAAATGATACAATTTCAGGTTTGTTCAGATTGGTGTTATTTTAAACTATGCCATTGTTTGGTGAAATTGACGAAGATATGGATGTATTTAGTTTGTTACTACCTCTGTTTTATATTATAAGTTGTTTTTACCTTTTTCCTAGTAAAACTTTTTTTAGTTTTGACCAAATTTTAGAAAAATATAGTGATATTTTGAACATAAAACATTCTAACCAGATATATTCAATTTTGCTATTAATGAAACTAATTTGATGTTGTAAGTGTGTCGGTGACATGGAACCGGGAGTATCATGACTAGAGGCTTGAGGCAGACACAATCGCCCACGTGGCCTGGCACCCTCGGGGGGCGTCGGGCCCGAGGGTGATGTGTTCGCCCTCCTCTTTGTCTCCCCGAGGGGGTCGGACCGCTCCCGCCTCGGCCCCGAGGGCCGAGGCGCCCCGACCCCTTGTGGGTTTTGCGCCGCGTGTATGGGTTAGGTGAGCGCAGCGGGGCTCACCTAACCGCATTTATTGCGGTTTGGGTGAGCACGTCACGCCACACGTAATGCAGTACAGCGCGCTCGTTTATCCGGTCTGTGACTGGTCACAGACCGGTCAGATTGCGGGTTAGGTGGCGACAGGCGGTCTGACGCACGCCTCGCCCCATCCCGTCAGGACGAGAGCCTCCAAGCACTCGTCCCTAGCCGGAGCCGGCGTGTTAGCTCCTGGAGATGGCACGTTGGTTCCGGTCAGATATATGCCAGGCTTCATCCTAACCATTACAGGCAAGATATTGTATGAAGAAGGGCGAACATGCAGATTGTTAAACTGACACGTGGTGGACAAGAATGACCGATTTGTGACCGGTCTGACACTGGTCATGTCGTCAGCAGACAGCCATGTTCCCACGTCGCGCCTGCTTCCGGCGGAAGTGGAGGTAGGTATGGGCCGTCCCATCAGAAGGTCATTCGGACGGCAACCATACAAGTCTCCGTCTGTTTATGAAAAGATAGGATAAGTCCCCACAAAAAAGAGAGAGATGGTGCATGTGGTATCCCCTTGAGGTATAAAAGGAGGACCTTGCCCACTTAGAAAGGAGATTTTTTCGGATCCAGAACGATCAGAGAGGGAGAGAGTAAGAGCTCTCTGGTTCTCCAGCTCTTTTGTAGCTTCTTCATACATAGATCCACCAAAACACAGGAGTAGGGTATTATGCTTCTCAGCGGCCCGAACCTGTATACATCGCCCGTGTCTTGTGTGTTTCCATTCTCGCGAACCTTCCACACATAGACTAGGAGCTTAGAATCTCACCCAGGGCCCCCGGCCGAACCGGCAAAGGGGGGCCTGCGCGGTCTCCCGGTGAGGAGCCCCACGCTCCGTCAAAGTGTTATTAAATTTTTCTGTAAACTTAGTCAAATTTAAAAATATTTGATTAGAAAAAAAAATTAAAACAACTTATAATATGAAATAGAGGAAATGAAATAGAGGAAGTACCAAACATTGATAATATCTAAGAAATTTTGGTAACATCACATTTATCCTTTCATATTAAAACTTGACAATGCTGTCACCTTATTACTCCCTCCATTCCAAAATATAGGGCACAACTATGTTTTAAAGTTGTTTCATAATATAAGTCATGCGTGCATGCATAACAATTAATAACACAATCTCTCACCTAAATTATTATTTTTTAAATCAAGGTGTTTAATTTTATTGGGTGCATGTATTGTATTAGTTGAGATGATTCAAACAATGAGGTGATAATAATTGTTTCTTAGTCTTTGGGTCAAAGGTGGTTGTGCCTTATATTTTGGAATAGAGGGAGTAAAGTTTTAGCACAGTTAAATTTTGAAAAGGTTCATTATGTTTTCATCCCTAGTTAAAAAAAGCCTCTTTTTCTTCAGAGCAAGTTTAATAGTATAGCTGACTATTGGCTATTAATCCTTATTATAAATAACATGTATAATAGGTTAACTATAAGGATGGCATTATTTTTTTCTCCCATCTCTCTTTCTCTCACTATAAAATTAATAATGAAAATGTTTTAGCTCTTACATGAGAGTCAACCCTTCTCACTTATTTTTTAATTTTTCTTTTATATAAGTTTATAGTTGACTTATAGTCTACTGTTATCCTTGCTATCGCGGTCTTTTACCCTCATGGACAACTACCGGGGCGGTGGGCCGGGAGCCCAGGTAACAAGAACGGCCCGTGTCTGGGTGTGGCTCCCTTCCAATCGCATCCGCGCGCTGCTCACCTTGTTCGTCCTCACCTCACCTCACCTTTCCTCGCTCATGCCGCCCCCCGCTCCCCTCGCGCCGCTCCGCTCCCGCGCGCACCTCCGCCTCCATTGCCGCCTCCCTCCCTCGCCCTCGCCCTCGCCATCGCCTCTCCTCTCGCGAGCTCCCTCTCGCAGATGGCCTCCGCCTCTCCGCGCCTCCGCCTCCGGTAAACGCATGCGCTGGTGGCTGCTCGCCGCGGCCGCGGTCTGCTCCCCCCCACGACCTTCTTGATTCGAGCTGAGACAGTTCGTTTTGCACATTTCGCAGGTCGCGGGGGCGCTTCCGCCGCCGCCGCGCCGACGAGCTCGGCGCTCGACGCGCTCCTCTCCGCCGCGGAGCTGCTCTGCCTCGCGCCGCCCGCCATCTGCTCGGTGGTATGCGCGGCCCGCCTCGTCTTCCCGCCGCCGACGACGACGGGCGCCCCCGCGTCGGGGCTCGTGGGCGGGAGGATGTTCGTCGTGCAGTACGTGCTTCTGGTGGGCGCGGTGGCGATCGGGAGCCTGATCCGGCGGAGGCAGTGGGGGCGGCTTTGCCAGGTGGGTGGCGGCGGCGGCGGTGGCGCCGCGGCTAGGGGTGTGGATTTCGCGGGGAGGATTGGCGAGGTGGAGGAGAGCGTGAGGGGCGTGGTGGCGGCCGTCGGTGTGCTGTCGAGGACCGTCGAGAAGCTCGGCGTCAGGTTTAGGGTGTTGCGGAGGACGCTGAGGGATCCTATCAATGAGGTGAGTATTGCTTAATCTTCCAGGATACCTACCTCGTCCTACTTAGAGAAATTTAAGAATTTAAGCTTTGCTTCACTGTTGGTTTAGTAGCAACCAATTAGAATTCGTTTAAAGAAACAACCAGTTAGAATTGAACTGTCAAAAATGGTGTTAGAAAGGGGACTTGGTAACGTGTCAGTGACATGAAATTTCTACGAGTGCGTTCCAATCGGTCATGAAAATCTTGGTGTGGCTATGGACAGTTACTTTGCCCAATGTTTGAAATTCATCCATGTTCTTGATCATTGACTGGATATCACTTAACTCTTTTGTAAGAGCTCCAAATCTGACATTTCAACACACAGTTTTATTTAGCCCAGAAAGGAAACTCTCTTCTGATATCTCTTATTAGAATCTGAACCGTCAAAAGTTATATACTTGAGAAATCTTTAGCATAACGAAATAAACAGTAGGATACCAAGTCTTGATCCAGCAAACAACTGCTGCATGGATCAAGACATAACATTAGGAGGACAATTAAAACACAGCCAGCTAAAACTGCTCAGTAGTCCTCCACAGTAACAGAAAAACAGTATTGTACTCTTGTCAGCCCTGAATCCTTGGAACTTTGAGTTGCTACTCCAACACACATCTGAAACTTCAGATACCACTTGCTCGACAAGCTTGGTCCTCAGCACTAGAGATTCTATCATACTCCAGCATCTGTGGTACTATCTAGAAATTCAACTAATTAATGATAAAATGATACATTTTATATCTGAAACATGCAGCTTTTTGTGCCTACTAAATTGTCCAGAAGCAAGTGCACCTAAAAGGGTTGTCATCTTTCCCCTAAGTCATCTTAACCAGCTATCTAAACAGCCTAGGAGAACTAAAAGGTTTATTACTGAAAACAAATGCTTGCATAGTTGCATTTCAGAAATATCTAGTAAGCTTGTCAACTGAAAAACAGGTGATAACTACTCTTATCAATCCTAAAAAACTGTCATTTCTCTTCTTTTGGACCTCTCCCAATCTCATTGTCTTTATTACTGAAAACAAATGTTTGCATTGTTGCATTTCAGAACTATCTAGTAAGCTTGTCAACTGAAAAACAGGTGATAACTACTCTCATCAATCCTAAAAAACTGTCATTTCTCTTCTTTTAGACCTCTTCCAATCTCATTATCTTTAGTCAGTACGCTCTTTTTGAGCACCATTCAAGCAAAGACATGAATTTCAGAGAACGGACCCCATTCAACTTCCACATAAATTTCGGAGGAAACAAAGCACCCTACCTTTTTAAAAGCTGCAAATCATAGTGCAATGGGCATCGGAACTTTGGAAGACAAGGCCAACCTATACTACTCCTCCTAAAGTGCCAGTATATCATTGCATTCATGCTGTAGTTCTTCCTACAATCACAACATATCGTCCATACTGCCATCCTGAATGCATCCTCCATTCACAACTTCAGGAACCTTAATGTTTTTTCTGCAAGTGAATATTAAGCCTTGCACTTTTGATATAAGTTTACAGTGTTCTGTTTTTGCAGACTGCAACTTTAGCCCAAAAGAATTCTGAGGCTACTCGAGTACTAGCTGCCCAAGAAGACCTTCTTGAAAAAGAACTTGGTGAAATTCAAAAGGTTTTATATGCAATGCAGGTAATAATTATTGCCTTCTTTCTTTTTTGGTTTCTCTTCCTTCGAAGTACTTGCTGTTGGTTTCCTCATGCTTGTAAGCCTGGTTTTATTTAATGCCACTATTGCAGCTATTTCTCAGATCTAATGTCCTGACTTCTAAGTAATCTGTATCAGAGAAGTTTCTTATGTATTTCATGTTCTACTTTTGCTTAATGTAATTCTTAGCTCATTATGAATGACTAACTTCTTATGCTGCCCTATGCTTATTGTATTGGGAAAACAATTAATGAACCAAGTTAACATACATTCATACAAATGATTGTGTGTCATTTATATTCTTGTTGACATGTATTGAGCTGCTGGTTACTGTTCAAGGCCCAAATAGTTGTAACATCACAAAAACTAAATCCGTTTCTGCTGGTTATTGTTCAAGACCCAAATAGTTGTAACATCACAGAGACCAAATCCATCTAGTTTCTTACCTATTCCAAACCTTATACAGAAATCAGTACCACACTACCAACTAATGAGCATAACTTCATCCCCAAAACGGCAAGCTTATGGTTTTTGTTATATGAGTTGCAATTATCATGCCCTCACTCTGTTACTTTTGCCTATCTCTTTTTAAATTTAAGAGACACCATGAATATTTCAGTTCATACCTACAAATTTTATCAAGTTCTTGGTCATTTTGTTGCCTGAAAGAGTCTGTTTTTAAGCTTATATCCTTGCATTTGCATGGTCTATACTGTGTCTACAACTGAAAAGTTTATATTCACCACAAATTTAGTAACCATCATGTACCGACTAGAGCTTAACATCATGATTTGGTTAATTATTACATCAATGTTTTTGTTGTCTTTTCAAGGTGACTCACTTGTTTTTCATAGCTGATGTTGCCCTCCGAAATACTAATGACTAGCCAATACACCCCAGTAAATAATCGTTTCCTTATGGAGCTTAGCCTTATGCAATTTTTGCCTTTGACCAATGGAACCCATTAATCTATTCTGCAGGAACAACAACAGAAGCAACTTGAACTAATCCTTGCAATCGGGGAGGCAAGCAGGATATTAGATGATAAAGAGGATTTGCCAGGCAACGATACTTCCAGCACGATTATGGAGAAAGAGAATGAACAGACAGATATAAAAGTCGAAACAATTACAGGAGGCAATAACAGACCCTGATTTCATGAACTAAAAACAGAAAGTAGGAACTTCAAAATCCTCTCCAACAAACCAGGAGGTATCTTTTGGTTTTGTTCCATCCAATATTGGGTGGGAATGAATGGTTGAAGTGCCAATGCGCCATCATGATGAATATATTCGTGGCTTCAAATGGGATCGTTGGTAACATTTCAATGTGCTGTTCATAAACACTGGCCAGAGCAACTGCGTCCTAACACTGTAACACATGACTTGTACAGGGCAAGCTGGTGGGTTCCATAAGATTTCTGTATGGTACCTGCCTGGTAAAGAACGAATTTCTCATTGGCTTGTAACTTCGTAAGCTGTAATTACATTGACCTTTTAAATGTGTTCGACATGTACATGCCGGTCAAGCAAATGTCTAGATGAATGTCTGGTGGAAATCTATCCGTATATCTAGGAGCCTGGTGTATGCTATAATTTATGGTGTCCGCTGGTCGACATGTTCCTGTAATTCTGTAGAAGAGTAAAGTGCGACATGGGTGGTTGTCCTCTTGCTTCCTAGCTTCACACGATCTAGTGCTGTACGCCTGTCCTGGAGTCATGAAATGGACTTCTTTTTTGGTGCGAACAATGGTAGACTTCTTTTGTTAATGCTATAATGCTATTGCCTTAGTACTAGTATAGAGATATTTCCATTTCGTTTGGTTGGTGAGTTGGTGACTGTGTGACAGTACTACCAATATTTATCCGGTTTCTATTAAACTGAGACCACTAATAAATGGATGATACTTGGTTGGTTACTCACCACAAGGTAGGAATTCTATCAATGGTTGCTGAGAACTAATTACGTGATTGCATCCAAGATGAGTAGACCGACATTGTCATTAAATCATCGAGCTAAAAACAAAGACTGGAACAGCGCCTGTGAACAGTAAGCCGAAAGAAAAGAAGCGAGTGCCACTTTGCCAGTTCGTCATACACGCTTTTAAGATGCCCAGTCTTTGGCTTCTTTCATCATGTGATGTATGCAACTTTAACCAAGTGTGGCCAAGCTTTTCAGTTCCAGTTCTTTCAGTTTCAGAATTCAGAACCCTTTTCTCGTCAAGTCTCACGCATCACTCCTCGCCACCCTCTTCCGTATACACAAGCACTAAAATGTTGCAAACTGTATACGACTTGTACTAGCACTAGCACTACTACTAATCTCAAACAAGAAAATGAAAGCACTATCAGTACATAGTACTGGTATTTTCTTAGGTTTTGTACGGCGTCCTAGGATAAATCTGAAAGAGCGTTGTATTTCTGGTCTTACATAGCCATTAATTATTACTGTTACAATGCACGAACAACGGCAAACTTAGGATGCTCTAAGATTGTACTAGTACTGATGACTGAAGGTTTATTCATAAGAAAAAAAAAGTTGAATTAATTCAACTGGTACTCTACGTTGAGATGAATTGGCTACTGCTGCCCTGCTATTACCCAGCCACTATTCAAGGCAAATTCATGGCCTCATGGTACACAGCGTCACACACTCATGGCTTTCATGGACTCTCTCACAGCTTCGCACAGGGAAGTTCGCAATGATGCGTGCGTGCCTGTCAACAATTCATTGCCCCCTAACGTCACTGCCCCCCCCCCTCCCCCCCCCCCCCCCCCCTCGCTGTTGCACTATTAACTGGCATTTAACACATTGCTGTGAGATCTGTCTGCGTGAATTAGTAGCGAGATTAATACAAGCTGCAGTACTACCTCCTACTCCATCCAGCCCATCTGATCTGATCTGATCTCTCTCATGTTAATTAATTGCAGCAAAAGAATCATACACCGTATGCCTTTGTTGCAGCCTAACCTTTAGGACCATTTTTAGTCGTGTATCCATTTATAGGGACTTTGATACCACCAGCTTGTAAACTTTCAAAGGTGAGGAACAATGTCCGATCCATTTGGAGCCGTTTTAATCGAGCCTAACTTTAGGACCAGTTTATATGATTGTATGTATCCTTCCACGTGATCTACCAGCTTCAGAGATGACAATGGCCGATCCATTTTTAGCCGAGTACAGTTATGTTAAAGATGGTGACCAAGATGGAGCTTTGTGGTCCAACATACCATGGGCTACAGTCCAATCAAACCGTCTTCATAACCTTATTACTCTCTCTGTTTCACAATGTAAGGGGGTGTTTGGGAGAGAACGTAAGTCTCTAAGACTTATGTTTTTGAGAGAGGGGCTAAACTTTAGCCCCTCTCTCAAAAACACCCCCTAAGTTATTCTATCATTTTCCATATTTATATTAATGTTAATGAATCTAGACATATATATCTATCTAGATTTGTTAATATCAATATGAACGTGGAAAATGTTAGAATGACTTACGTTATGAAACGGAGAAGGAAGGCCAACCTATTGTGCTTTTAGAAGAACCACCATATATATGGACGTTGGATTCGGATCAGCTGCACTTAAACAGTAGCAATGAGCACCATTGGATGCGAATCGGACGGTCTATATCGCACACTTCACAGTTCGTATCACCGTAGAATATTGTAGTATGGAGTATTTACATTGTTAATGTAGCATCAAATCTAAACCATTAATAAAAACTGACGGTCAAAATTATATGTAGTAGTTAACTTATAGTTATAAGTATAACTACACCTGATCTGAATTTATGGGCACTGAAGCGTTGAATGGAGCTGTTTGTTTTTCTAGCCTACCAAATATTTGGTAGACAAGTTTTGGTAATATAAATTATATGATAGGATAGAGGTGTAGTATTACACATACTTGGATTGTTACTAATATAAAACTAAATATTGATGATGTAGAGAAGAAAATTCTACATTAGTGCATCGCATGTATTATCAATTATTTGTCTAAGAAGAGATAAAAAAAACTCAACGGAAACTTTCCATAAGGTTATATCTCATGTTAAATTTCCTCTAAACTTATATGGAAGGAGACATTTCGTATGAATTTCATATGGTCCATTCCTTTTATTCAGAGGGTTCTATAGAAATAAAGAATTATAGGAACGAAATTCTACAAAAAAAATTCCTATGACTTTTCTTTGAACCAAATGGGACCTAGTTGTGGAGATCGGAGATATTAGAGCATCTCCAATAGCATTGATAAATGACTCCTCAAGTTAAATTTTAGCCAACACAGGAAAAAAAAACTCCCTCCAATAGTCTAGCTACTTGGATTGCCAAGTCATATGGCTGGCCAAACAAGCATCTCAACTGGCCAAATTTGGCCGGCCTCCTCCAGTTGCCGAACGATGGGCCCCACCGTGGGTCCCACCTATCTCTTTCTTTGCTTCTCTCTTCTCTCAGCCGACGGCTAGCTCCCATGCCTTTGCCGATGGCGCCAATGGCCAGCTCCTACTGAGGTCGATCCGTGCAGCATGGTGAAGGTCGAGATGGCCGGCGAGCGGCGCAAGGTGGCCAATGGTGGCACCAACGGTGGAGGAAGGCATGCAATGGGGCGGCGGAGGGGACATGGTGACGGTGAGGGAGAGAGGGCGCAGAGACGACGGAGGGAGGGATGCGGCATCGAGGGAGGGGGGATGGGGCGCGGCGCACGACCGTCGAAGAGGATGAGGCCACCATCGTCGTTCACCGTCGGGGCCACCTCACGCATGCACGGATCCACCATTGTCGACTGCCGCCGAACAGGGCCTCTCGTGCCATGCACTCACCGCTGCCTCAAATGCGCGAGGGCACACCGTCGTCGTCGCCGTCGCCGCTCAGGTGCTGCCGCCGCCGTCACCGTCGTCACTCGGCTTCTTCCCGCCGCCGATTTCCACCGCTACCTCCGCCTCCGTCAGATCCGCTCGCTCACCCACTGACGACACGAGGGAATCGACGAGAAAACTGTGGCATCGTTGAGGTCGGCGTCGCGAGCTGATGTCGTCGTCGTCATCGAGGTCGTCGTGGCGAGCCGCCGCCATCCCGCCCCGAGCTCCGCCGCCGCCGTCGCCATCCCGCTCTGAGCTCCGTCGCCTCGTCGCCGCAAAGCCGGCGGCGGCCTCTAGATCCGGCAGCCCGAGGGGAGCTCGACGGTGCTCGGCTGTGGGGAGTGGTCGGCGGGGAGAGGGAGAGCACCTCGGTGAGTGCCGCCTCCCGCCTCCCCGCGTCGCCGCCCCACTGCGCGCCATGCGTCGGCCGCCATCGGCATCAGTGTGGTCGACAGGAAGGAAGGAAGGAAAGGGGAAAAGAAGGAAAGAGAAGGAAGAAGGTGGGGGGAGAGGCTGACACGTGGGTTCATTTTTATTTTAGAGAGAATTAATAGAGAGTCTTGTTGTGTTTAGTTCAGCGCAAAGTTTACATTTTGATTAAAATTGAAGATGATGTGTGATAAAAAAGGACTGAAGTTTGGATCCAAACTTTAAATCTAAACACAGCCTCTGTTGGAGTGAGTTTTTAGTTTAAGTGGCTAAATAAGATAGAGAAGCTGTTGCAGAGGCAAGTCGAGGACTCGCCCTGTGGTTCAGGCGATGCCAGGAAAAAGGTGGCACTCGGCCTCTCGGTTTCTCGAGAGGGCATAGCACTATAGCAGTATCCCTATTGCAGGTGTGCCAGTAGAGGGGGCAGCGCCGCAGCGGGGGAGGTAGGCAATGGTGGGATACAGCTGGCTCGGCTCGGTTCGGCGTCGGCCCCTGCCGCGCACTGCTCTCCTCTCCTCCCTCTCCGCGGTGCTCTCGGCCGCTAATCGCTCTCGTCTGCGCGCGCGTGACACTGCGGCGGCATCGCGCGACGAGCCGTACGTACGCACGCACGCACTGCTCCTACACTCCTACTACACGCGGTTCACATGCGCAGATGCGCTCCCCGCCCCGGTGTGTGCACGGCGCGTCTGTTGGTGGGGGCGCCGCGTGACGACGGGGGTTGGAATGCTCGCTCGCTGTTGCGCGCGGCTCGGCGCGCGCACGCACGCACCCTAGTGGGAGGGTAGTAGGACCCGCGTGCGTGGGGGTACGTACCACGGTGGGAGACTGGGAGTACTGGTCGTACGTACCACCATCCTTAGGTCCAGCAATGTTTCGTGTCGTTTCAGAGAATCTGGCGGAGAAGAAGCCATGCAGGTCTCAGCTCCGATACCGGGTAAATATCGTGTAACAACGAGTTGAAAGCTCGTGAAAATCAACCCGAAAGTTTTTTTTAGTCACGAAAAAGTTATTAGAGACGGGTGTAGATACGTACATTCTCGCCGAATCTTAAGTTTAAACTCAACTTCACTTGAGAGAAGCAAAAATAATAGATTTTACATAAATATTGTCGTGTTACCATTCACCCAAAATTCATCTTTTTTTATGACTAAATAAAGTTGAGTGTGAACTTGCGATTTTATCGTAGTGTTTATATTTATCTCTAATATGTTTTCATTAATTTATAAACAATTTAAGTATGATTTTTACGAATATGTCCTTCCAATACCGGTCCCAGCTAATCCGCATGCTAGGAATTCGCTCGAGTGTGACTATTCACAGCCGTACTTTCGTTCCACTAAGTAGAAAAAAAGATGAATATTAGGGAAAATCAAATATCAAATAAATAAAAGAGGTGGGGCTTTGAATCCAGGCTAGTCTTGTGGAGCTAACCGGAAAACCTCTAGACGTTTTTGGTTCCACTAAGTAGAAGACTAGGGTCATATTTGATAGAACTTTAACTACTAAATTTAACTCTAAAAGTTGGATCTGGAGTGAAGCTGTGAAACAGCCTAAATCTAGTTCCACCTCTCTCCTAGTTTAGATAGAGCTGAAACTGTTTGGTTGAACCTTAACTTAGAGTTGAAGTTAAAGTTGTGACAAACAAGCTCTAGAGGACTACAATGTTCGTTACATTTATGTTACCCACAGCTATTTTTTTCGCTCGAATGACTAGTACTTGTGCTACTACTAGTAGTAAAAAAGATGAGAAACTTGTTGCTACATTCCCAAGGTTTGCATTCACTAGACTGAAATTCTAGTGATTTCAGTGCCACTAAAATTTCACGAGTTTCAGTTTCTTTTGCACAAAACTATTTAAAAATTTAATAATTTCAACCGCAATGCAAAAAAAAAAAAAGAAAAGAGAAAGTCCGAAAGTTTGGACGAGATAGTTGCTTGCCAGCGGGGCTTGAAATTTAAATCACCGGTAAAACCAGTATAATCTTACGACTTGTGACATACTCCCTCCGTTCCATAAAAAATCTAATCCTAGATTTAAATCTTAGCATACACTATGTCCAGATTCAAACCCTAGATTAAGTTTTTTATGGGACGGAGGGAGTACTCGCTTCATCTTAAAATAAATTAAATTAGGATATGACGTCATATAACCTAGTATAATGAATTTGAAATGCCTCATATATATCCAGATTCATAGCCCTGTTTGGAGAACTAGCCAAGAGTTATTTTGAGAGCTATTTTTAGCACAAGGAAATAGCTCTCTAATAAAATAGCCCTAAGTTGTTTGGATTCAAGGGTTATTTTGAGAGCTATTTGGCCTTTAATACACTTTCCCATGGACAGAGAATGAGAGAAAAGACATTTTTTAGTGGGCCCCACCTGAAATAGCTCCAATTAGCACCCTTTGAGGGGGGGGTAGTTTTTTTGGTGGGTTATTTTCAAATAGCCCTAAAATAACTCACCTGTTTGGACTTTTGGGCTATTTGAGGCTATTTGAGGGAGGGTTAAAAAATAACCATGAATCCAAACAGAGATAGTCCTAGGATGAGATGGGTCTTATCCCATTCTAGGTTGCTATATTTTTGGATCGATAAAGTAAGTACTAGGTTAGATCACAACTATCCTAGGTTAAATTATTTTGAAACGAAATGAGCACTGCACACTATAATATAAGTTAGGACGGACCATAACTTAACCTAGTACAATAAATTTGGACAGATTATATCCCATTCAATCTAAGTTGGTTTATTTCGGTGATGAAGAGAATAGTCATTAAATCACGGTTACACATACTTTATCCATCCTCTAAAACCAAATTTCACATAAGATGTGACATATTGTAATACTAAGAATTTAACTATATCTGTTTTTTTTGCAGAGAGTAGTAGTAATACTTCATTCATCCTAAAATATAGACATTTTTAGGTTGGCATTTTATTTTTGATAAAGTACTGAGCTAAATATAGCTATATTTTGGAAAGGAGCTAGTATAAAACAGCACCTGATCTAAATTCCGTAACATATATACAGTAGCAATACTACTACTAGCTACTCCCTCTGTCACAATGTACTCCAAAAGTGGTCCACCAGTAATATAATATTTGATTCAGCCACTAACATTGTGGAACTAGTCCATAAGAAAGAAATAACAAAAATTACCCATAAGCATATGGGCTACCCATAAAGAGTAAAATATATTATTTATCACTATCTCTTCTCTCCTACTAATACTATTTGCTATACATATACATTGTGAAGGTTGCAATAGTTAAAGTTTATATATGTGGGTCACATCTCTATGGACTACTTTTGCCATATACATTATCGTTACTCTAAGGGATTTTAGATTGATATGACATATTCTAGTACAATGAATATGGACGGAGGATGTGTTACATCCATCCAAAATCCTTTATAGTCCCTTCGTCTCTAAATATAAGGTATTTTTGTTGGATGTGATGTGACATATCCTAGTACAACATATCTGAATATTTTTATGACCCAAATCCCTTATATCTAGGGACGGAGGGAGTATTATGGGACGTACCTCTATGGCTCTGCCTGAACTTCATTTGGGCCGTGTTTAGTTCCAAAATAATTCTTCAAACTTTTAACTTTTTCATCGCATAAAAAAATTTTACACACATAAACTTCTCACTTTTCTATTACATCGTTCTAATTTCAACAAAATTTTTAATTTTGATGTTAACTAAACCCAGCCTTGGTTGGGTACTTACTCCACGTCATTACGCCAATGGAGATGAGGAACAACGCTCAGAGCTCAGAGGTCAGAGCGGTCACGTCTGACGGGCCCCAACTCCGTGCAGCGACGGGACGCCTTCCGTACCATCCAAGCCTTTTTATCTCGGGCAAACCTTCTCTCCCTCTCCCCTGCCACGGCTGGCACGCGGCCACTGTGCGCCCAAGCTTATCCCCTGCACAGCCTGGATGGATTCTCGTCCTGTCCTCACCCTCTTTCCCGTGCTCCATACCACGCCCGGACAAACCGGGGCATAGTGATGATGCATCGCGTCGTCCGTCCTCCGTCCTCCCCTTGCTTTTGCTTCCTTGTGTGTGCATGCTTTCCACGATGGCCAACAAGGTGGTGGTAGATGATGGCACAAGCACAATGGTTTTCCTTGTTGCCACTTGCCCGTCTTGAGTTTTGCAAATACTCCTGCTACCCCGTACTTGCATTTGGTCGATTTCATGAAAACATTGCAAACATCGGCTCTGTTTAGTTCATTGCTCAAATTTTTTTAAAGTATATAGAAATGTAATGTAGTCTTATAGATTCCGTCTACAAGACATCTAATTACTGTCATTAATATACAAACACACATTTAAAGTATTAAATATAGTCTTACAGATTCCGTCTACAAGACATCTAATTACTGTCATAATTACTGTCATTAGCAAATATTTATTATATCATCACATTATCAAATTATGACGTAATTAGACTCAAAAGTCACATTGTCAAATCAGACTCAAAAGATTCGTCTCTCACAATTTACATGCAAACTGTGTAATTAGTTTTTTCATCTATATTTAATGCTCTATACATGTGTCCAAATATTCTGGTGCAACATTGTTATATAAAAAAAAAATCCAAACACGGCCTTTGCTTGAGATGTCAACGATCAACGAACCCATGAACAATGCCTTACCAATATATACAGAACATGACAACGAAAGCCTAGGTTTATTACATTACCCCACTTCATTCTGTTTTTTTTTCCATTTTTTTTGTTCACCACGAAATATCCACAAAACAAAAGAAACGAGACACCACGTCACTCCACTCCCTAATCCCAGCCGTCCGTACACCGAGCCCAAGCCATTTTGGTCCATCGATCGATCGCATCAGAGGGTTTGTACTAGTACTACTACACGAGAGTAGAGCACTGCGAGGTCTTGGGGTCCCACATCGCCGGCAGGAGGAACCGCCGGCCGGCGACCCCGACGGCGTTGTAGCTGGCGCCGGTGGCGGCGTCCACCGGCAGCTGGCCGGGGTACCCCGGGTAGGCGCCGGCGCCGAACATCCCCGTGCAGGCCGTCACCGCCTCCAGCGGCGCCTCGGTGGGGCCCTGGAAGTACCCGCCGCCGTACGGGTTCGTCACCGCCCCGGCGAGCAGCGTGGCGAGGTTGATGATGATGCCGTCCATCCCCACGTCGGCGTTCGGCGACACCAGCGGCGGCGCCTGAGGGCCGTACGCCGGCTGGTGGAACGGCCACGCGCACTCCCCCGGGCACTGCTCCGCCGCGTTCCCCACCCACGCGTACGCGAACCTGCCGCGCCCGCGCGTCGCGGCTGGCGAGGCGGTGGCGGCGGCGGCGGCGGCCGAGGTGGCCGACGCGTGGAGGCCGCAGTGGGAGAGGCAGAAGCCGTCGACGAGGACGTCGGGGGCAGTTATCACCACGGCGATGGAGCCCCGGTGCGGGGAGAGGCGCGCGGCCAGCGCGGCGAGGGAGGTCTCCGACAGCCGCCGGCCGAGGGAGAGCGACGCGTCGAGCACCTGGCGGCCGAGCGTGAGCCGCGCGGCGCCCGGGTGGTACCGCGCCGTGGTGGCCCACCACGACGCGACCGACGGCGCCGCCGGACCACCAGACACCGCCGCAGCCTCCGCCGCCGCCGACGGCGACGACATCGACAGCAAGAAGTCAGCGACGGTGGCGCGCTGCGCCGGGGTGAAGCGGCCGTACCAGAGCAGGTTGACGGAGTAGTTCCCCGTGAGCAGCTGGCCGTGGTGGTTCGTGAGCGTGACCGGCGCCTGGGTCACCAGGAACAGCTGCCTCGGCGTGGCCGCGGCGGCGCCGGCGATAGCCACGGCGAGGAGGAGGAGAAGCACCCAACCAACAAGACGGCCGCGCTTGTGGGCCATGGCTGTCAGTGACACCTTCGCCACACCGTGGTGGTAGGGGCGGGGTGGTGGAGAGGTTTATATAGCCGGGAGGGAGGGGTCCAGCCATGGGCCGAGCGCGGTGAGCTTGGTCCAGTGGGCCGGAGCGGGGGCGCGACTTTTGAGGAGGTGTCGTGAGGAGGCGTAGCAATATTTCTGGGGAAGCGGGTGGGGGTGGGCCCGGGTGTGGAGAGTGTGTGGGGTGGGGCCATGCTGGTCAGAGGAGGAAGAAGTAGGGGGGTTTTCCTTGCGTGAGAAGGGATGGGGATTTGAATGTGATGGGATGCAGGTTGACAGAGGTGTGAGCAGTGGAGCAGCACAGCATGTCGTGCTGCACGCACAATGGCGGGGTGGCGCCGTGAGTGTGAAATGTGAATGCGGCTGCTGGAGCAGAGCTCGTAAATTTGAGGTCACAGCCTATGAGGGCCTGGTGATACTGATCTAAATCATACACAATCTGTGTATGGATCCAAACTTTAAACTTCAGTATTTTTTCATTACATTAACCTGACATATACACATAATTTTTTCAGTCACATTATCTCTAATTTTAATCAAAATCCAAACTTTACGCTGAACTATACACAGCCTAAACACCCACTGAGTAGCTCTATTGGTTGCCCTAACATGTGTACTCCTATCTTTGATTTGGACAGAAAACGTTAAAATTTTTGAAGGGTTTTAATTCTATTGAAAAATTTTCTGTGAAGACATTTAAAACAAAGGATTGGATCCTAGAGTATCCTTTGAAATTTCTATGAAATAAACCATACTGTAGAGATTTTGGAGGAAATTTAGCAATAATTTTAATCTCTTGTAAATTTTCCTTTAAGTCTATCTCTATCATCGTATTCTCGTGTTTTTCCTCTATTTTGCAATCCTCTATTTTGTACTTATATTTATATTATAATTCTATGTTTGTCCTATTCCTCTATTTTTTATTGATGTGATTCAAAGGTGTCTTAAAATTTGAATTTTTAAACTTAATTTTGAATTTGGTTTTAAGATATTTTCAACATATATTTTAGCATTGATATTTAAATTGCTAATAACACGTATATAAAAATTTCAGCTATAAAATATTTTTTATCTTCCAATAAACCATTTTACCTTATTAGGAAATAGAAGCAACAGAGCTTTGCTATGCCAGCGGCAACACCTCTGCAATGAGTGAACGTTTCCTTGGTTACTGTTCTTCATGCAGCTTGGCGGTTTTTTAATGGCCAATTTAACCCGTGACTTATATAAGTAAAATTTTTATATATAGGGTAATTTTGGATTGATACCACTATACTAAATATGCCTTATCATTTTTTTGCCAACCTAAATAGTAAATGTGCTAGTTTGGGTCAAAGGCAACTAATTGATTGTGCACATGTTTTATTTGGTTAAATTTTGAGTAAATTTCATAAAACTACATATACTTAGCACAATCTATCACAAAACTACATATTTAAGAACTTGTTTCACAAAACTACATATTCAAAGTCTTCGTTTATCACAAAATTATATGTACTTTGTACAATATATCCCAAAGCTACATATTTAAGAACTTGTTTCACAAAACTACAGATTTAATATCTTCATTTATCACAAAACTACAGGTTTATTGTCTTCATTATCACAAAACTGCAGGTTTTAGCATTGTTAAAACCTGTAGTTTTATGATAATGGAGACACAAAATCTGTAGTTTTGTGATAAATGAAGACACTAAATGTGTAGTTCTATGATAAACGAATACACTAAATCTATAGTTTTGTGAAACAAGTTCTTAAATATGTACTTTTGTGATAGATTATTCAAAGTACATGTAGTTTTGTGATAAATGAAGACACTAAATCTGTAGTTTTATGAAACAAGTTTTTAAATCTGTAGTTTTGTGATAAATAATATAAAATACTTGTAGTATTGTGAAATTTACTCTTAAATTTTAGAAGTTTTTCACTACAATATCAAATTTCGGCTTCATATTGGTTCTAATCGAAACGTGAACTATAGATAACTCTACCTTACAATACCAATGAATTGATAGAGTAGCAATCCGAACATGCCCATACTACTATTGCTCCCACCATTCAAAAAAATAATTTTCAAAGTTCAAAGTTCGTTCTAAAATAAATCAACTTCTATCTTTTTACTCTATCTATTCCCAACTAATCACATATTACATGGGTATATCACAATCAAGAAAAGTCAATAACTCTCTCGTACTATATTTACTCTGATAATAAACTCAATACATACATCATCCCTAATATTTTCTAGCTAATAACAAACCAAGACATTATGTGTTGTTGTGTAAATGGTTGTGGACATGGACACATGCACTAATGTACATATACTCTCATGCACATATAAGGCCTGAGGGAGTATGTGTTGTTGGTGATTGAAATGATAGAACTACTAGTAAGTAAGGCCTCGTTTGTTTTTAATTTAAGATGTATATTATACCTTAGTTCTCGTTAGCATGTTTTTCAAATGACTGAATGGCGTATTTTACACGATTTTTTTTAGAAATTGTCAAATAAATTTATTTTTTAAACTAGCAATAGTTAATACTCGACTAGTTATGCGTTGATGGCTTGTTTCGTTTTCAGCGCACTGACTCTATCTAGCTTGAACATAAATAGACTGATAAGGTAAAGAAACACCAAACCAACTCTAAAATAAAGTTTTAAAATTTAAGGCTATCTTTGAACACATGATAGGAAAACCATATATGAAGATGAAAAATGCAAGAATTGGTATGCTTAGGGCTCCTTTGGAACAAAGGAAAAGTGGAAGAATTTTGGAGAACTCAAATCCATTGGAAAATTTCTCTACATGGTCCTTTGAACATAGGAATGTCTTCCCCAAAATCCTTTGAAATTTCTCATTTTGTAGAAATTTTGGAGGAAAACTAACATGAGATTAGACCTCATTTGTTCTTATCCTTGTGACTCAAAGTTTCTTTGCTTTTTCTATGGTGCTACCAAACAATGCTTTTTGCAAAATCCTAGCAAATTACTTCCTATAGGATTCGTTATGGGATGACACCATATTCTTGTGATTTTCATGCTCACGTGCTTTCGACATCCTGTGTTTCGAAGGAGCCATTTAATAGAAAAGAAAAACTCTTTCATCAGGTTGTCATCCTGCTTATTTTTCCTATAAAATTAAGCAGTACGGTGTAGAAATACAATTCTGTTATAAAATTAGACCTTTCCTCCTGTGAATCAAATGGTTCTACGAAAAAAATAGGAAAAAGTACGAATTACCCTCTGGACTATCGCGGTCGTCCGATTTACCACCCTAAACTTGAATACCGGATATTTGACACCCTAAACTTGCAAAACCGGACAAATTCCCCCCTCCCCCCGCTCCAAATCGGAATGGTTTGGTCCTACGTGGCATACATGTGGCACTAGCATGGCATTCCAATCCGAAAAAAATAAAAAAATAAAATGGGCCCCACATGTCATAGGGAGTACACGTAGTACTAAGCTCTCTCTCCTTTGATGTCGCGGGCGCGGCGTGGCGCAGAGCCAGACGCAGCGTGGCGGCGGGGACGACGGGGATGGCAGGAGGAGACGTGCTCGCCGGCGAAGTCCAAGGAGGAGCTGCGCGCCGCCTGTGGAATCACGGAGGACTAGTCGCCACGGAGCTCGTGATGGCGGCCGAGGGCAGCGCCGACGCAGTTGGGGAAGGCGGCTCAGCTCACCGGGGGCTGCGGCGCCGTGGAGGTCTGCGACGATAGCGACCACCCCATCCCCGTGGGCTCCGTCAAGCGCCGCGCGCCGACGCCGCTCGATTGGGCCGACGACGCTGCAGACGTGGGAGGAGATGGGTATGGACCAAGCGACGGCGAGGCCGACAGTGACCTCACTGCCGGCGTCCCCACGCGCTGCCGTCCCCCATGCGCTCCCACACGCCGCCGTCCCCCCGTCGCGCTGCCGTCCGCCGTCCGCCCCCACGCGCCGCCGTCCCCCGCCGCGCTGCCGTCCGCCGCTAGCCACGCACGCCTGCTCCCGCGTCGCCGTCGCCGATGCTCTCCTCCATGGCGTCATCGGTCGCCTGCCGCGGCGCCGCCCGGGAAGCTCCGCCTCCGCCTCAGCCTCAGCTGCCTGCCGCACGGGGAGCTCCGCCTCCACCTCAACAGGCCGCCTCCCGCCGCCCGGGGAGCTCCACCTCCACCGCCACCCGCCCGCTCGGCCTCTATCTCAGCCTCCCGCTCGGCCTCCGTCTCAGCCACCCGCCGCCCGCCGCTTGCCTGCTCTGCTTCCGCCTCTGCTGCCCGCTGCCCGGGGAGCTCCTTCTCTGCCGTCGGCGCACCCCCGCGCCGCCCTGTGCCGTTGCGCTCGACAGAGAGAGAGAGAGAGAGAGGTGGGGAAGAGGTGAAGAGGAGGGGAGAAGAAGGGGATTGGGCTGACAAGTGAGTCCCGTATCTTTTTATCTGTTTTGGCTGACTAGACTGCCACGTATGCATCCACGTAGGACCAAAACCGGCCTGGATCGACTTAGGGGGTAATTCATCCGGTTTGTAAAGTTTAGGGTTAAAAATAACTGGTATTGGAGTTTAGGGTGGTAAATCGGACGACCACAATTGTTCAATGGGTAATTCGTACTTTTTCCAAAAAGATATATACTACTATTTAAATGGAAGCTTTTACGCCGCCGTAACATTTATTAGCGACTAAAAGATAATTTGTTGGTAAAAGTTTGATATATGAGTCGTTTGCGATTTAAAGTCCAACATACAAAATAAATTACTAATAATAATAAATCAAAATTAACTCTAAAGTTGATATTCAAATTTTGGCCTGAAGAGCAATTGGTACTGCAAATCTCTGTCCATGCTTACTAAGAGCAAGGCTAATAGTATAGCCAGTTGCTGATTAATAGCCCATTGCTAAAGCTAGCTACTAGTACAATAGATTGTCTCTTGGCTGGCTACACCTCATAATCAAATAGTAAATTATATCATGCACATATCAATGTGTGTGATCAAGAGTGAATTGCATCTTTGTAGCCAGTTGTGCCAATAGCATATTC